GTTCTTAGTCCCTCTCTTCCCATGAATCTAGAGTCCTCAAGCTGCTCCCCCTCTCCATGTCCCCGTCTCTGCCTCCATCTCTGGCATCACTGCTTCTCTGGATAAGGTCCCACATTCTGCTTGTGCTCTTCTCCCTTGATAGTCCTAGGGTCGTCTGTTTCTGGACTGTAAAATTAACCACTCCCCTGTTTTTGTTATAAAACTTCTACCTTTACAATTGTGACAGTCGCATTAGTCATGATAACAGTTATTCACTATTGAATCATACGAATCTTATCTCCATCTCTTTTCACCAGACCCATCTAGACAAGATGAAAACTATTCAGTGGGGACTCTTTCTCCCTTTAAAAGTCTATTTTATCCTATAATCTACCTGACCTCACCACCTGGATCTCTGTTCCTCTGTTTACCTTCTTACGCATTGTAATTGTTTTGATCATGGACCTCCCACATCCTCTGTTCTTATAATTTTATTCTGTTCTTGAGTCTTCCATTTGTCAATTGAGTTCAGGGTAATGTTGCCACCTATGTCCATCTCTCGTTGGTTCTCAGCTCCATTGTTTAGTGTTTTGATACTTTTTTGTTTTTTGGTGGGGGGGAAGCCAGGGTGGTTTTATTTAGGATGACAACATACAAGATCCCACACTTATATGTACGTGGGCAAGATAAGGACTAAATCCAGGTCTTAGGCTTCTCCTCGGGACTCTTGGGGACAAACTTCTCCTGTAGCTTCTTCCTCATGCCTTTTTTCATTTCCTTTAACTCTTCCAAGGTGTCTGTGGACAGGATGAGCTTGTACTCTCGCAAGGACAGGCCACTGAAGCACGTGGCTTTGGGGCGAGGGTACTTGTGCTTACAATAGTTTGAATGGAGTCGTGCTAAGCTCTCGTACATCTGATCACAGGCCTCAGACTCTGCAATCTGCGTGTTCTCTTCTTCCCAAAAGGCCTGTGCTACCCTCTTCCACAAGTAAGTGCCTAAGTCCCGGCCCTGTTTGCTCTCGTTGATGGGCCATTCCTCACAGAGTTTAAGAAAACGCAGGTAGTGGCTAGCCGCCATTTTGGCCCCGCTTGTTACTGCCCTCGAGGTAGGAGTTGGCTGTTTTGATACATTTTATAATCCTTTTTCTGAATTCTTTCTCAGGCATTTCCAAAACCTGCCCATCTTCCAATATGGAGTGTAGGTCTGCTTCCAGCTCATTTGCCTCAGTCACTTTATCTTGTTTCTGGAATTGTGCTGATATGGTCATCAGTTTCTCTTTTTGGGGGGCACATTCAAGAGTTATCTGTGGCCTTAATACTTAGATGGGTATGTATTTTGGTATTTTTTATGCTTTCTGATTGCCTCCACGTAGATGTGATTAGGAAATGGGCTTCCCTTTTCACTGTTCTTCTTGAGAAATGTCAAGATGCCACTGTTAGTGGTTTTGATGTAACTTAGGATTTAATTTTTGGCCTATTTCCTTTTTTGTCTCCTTGTCCCGCTCTACAATCCTCGTTCAGGCCTTTTTTCTAGTTACAAACAGTTCAGGGCCGGCTCTGGCCGTTTGGTTTTAAGTGGAAACTGTCTCTTTAAATTTTGAGGAGATATGTGAGCATGTGTAGTAGAACCCTCCGAGGGTGGGGCTGGGGTGTCCACTAGCTCAGGCACCTCTATAGTCACCAGAATGGAGGTGAGCAGACAGCAAGGGACCAATGAACAGAAGATACTAAAAGAAAACAATGTCCACACCTTTATTTCTGCGGTTCTGTCAGGCGTCCGTGGCTGCTCATATCCTTCCCCCGCTTGGTCTCACCCAAGATGGTGGCTCCTGGAGCAGCTGAGCATCTTGAATTAGAAAGCAATGGATTTCTTGCTTCTTTTACAAATTCCCCAGCTGAAAGCCTTCCAACCTTCTAAATATTCCTTTATATGTGGTTCAGAGTTCTGGGACCATCCTCTGAGCCTGCTTGGTCCTGTATCCTGTGTTGTTGCCGACAAGAGTTCCTTACTGCATTTCCACCCGAGCCGCCATCTTGTTTGTTCCTCCCGTGCTGTCATTTTCCTCCATGCACTCAGTAGGATCAGAAGTTTGTTTACTTGTGTACCATATTGGAAGGTAAGCCCTTTGAGTTAACTTCTTTATTTCTAGTGGCAGAAAAATAAGGTTTAGTGCGTATGCTCTGGGAATTTATAGCAGCTGGGCATTGCTGAGGAGTGCTGGTGCCACAGTGGGTTACAAGTTGGGCTGCTAACCATATGCAGCTTAAACTCACCAGCTGCCCTGAGGAATAAAGGTTAATCTGTTTGCTTCTGTAAAGATTTACCACCTCAGAAGTCCTAGGGTAAGTTGTGACTCTTCTATAGAGTTGCTATGATTCAGAATCAACTTGATGGCAATAGGTTTTGGTTGGTATTTTTTGCATTGCTGGAGAGTGGCTGGTGGGGCAAGGCTGGGTCACAAAAGCCTTACAGTCTAAAGAGCCTAGATCTACAGTGGCTGGATGCCCCTAAAGGATTCAAAGTCAGGCATAATTGCGCTGATTCATATTTTTGGAAAGGCTAGGATAGAAGTAGACTGAGAGAGGGGTGTGAGATGAGGCAGGGAAATTATTTCACAGGTGTTTGCAAGAGCCCAGGTGTGAGACATAATGAGGGCCAGAAATACAGGAATGGAATTTTTAATTCCAGAGGTGTTTGGAAGGGGAATTTGACAAGATTTGCTAATTGACTGGATTGAATTGATGTTGGTACCTAAGTTGATACAGTGTCAGCAGCTAAATTGGGACCAAAACTGGAAAGGTGTTTGAGTGGTGGGGCCTGCAGATAAGTCCACCCTGGTCATGCTGCAAAGGCATACCTTTCCCCTGAAGGTCCAGGCTCAAAATGGGGACTAGATTGGGTGACAGTCAACACCACAGGTGAGTGAAACGGCCTGAGGCAGAGAGGAGGGAGTTTTGTAGGCAGGGAGGAGGAAAATGACCTAGAATGTCAGCATTTATGGGTAGAATAAAGAAACAAGGCTCCTGTGATACAGATAAAAATCAGCAGGTAAAAAGACTTAGGAAAAAATGGTATAGAAGCAGAAGAGGAGAACATTTCAAAAAGATGGGTCAGATGCTGGGGAGAGGCCAGTTAGGCAAGGACCGAAATTTCTCCATTGAGCGGTAGCTTGGCTAACATTGATGACTTTAATGTTAGCAGTTTGATTGAATTCTAAGGGTAAAA